CGCCCCCCCCAACGAGCCGATCTCCTGACGCCGCCCCCCCCTCGACCACCTCGCCCCGCCCCTGGGACCACCCGAAGCTGACAAAATTTCAGGGACCCACGGACCTCCAACCTCGAACCTCTCGCCCCCCTCCCGAGCCGATCTCCTGACGCTGCCCCCCCCGACCACCTCGCCCCGCCCCTGGGACCACCCGAGGCTGGCAAACGTTCAGGGACCCACGGACCTCGAACCTCGAAGCTCGAACCTCGAACCTCTCGCCTCCTCCCCGAGCCGACCTCCTGACGCTGCCCCCCCCCTTCGACAACTGCGCCCCGCCCCTGTGGTGTGCGAATGGCTGTGGTTCGTTGTGCACGTGCAGCCACCTGACCTGCCCCTCCACCTCGGCTAAAGGCACGAGGTGGAGGGGGGGTCATCAGGAGGAGGAGAAGGAGGAGGAGGAGGAGGAGGGGCGTGGAGGAGGAGGAGGGGGAAATTGTGAAAAGAGAGAACTGTAGCCTAGAGAGAAGCATCCCCGCCGCTGGGGCGCCTCCTCACGCCACCAGCGCACCCACGGCGAGGGCCGCCGCCGGCTCGCTCCCCGGCGCCTGGCGGGCCGCGGCGCCTCCCCACCCCCCGCCTCTGGGAACAGGCGCGGAGAAACAAGTGCTTGTCGCGGAGCTGGCGCGGAGGAGGAGGAGGAGGAGGAGGAGGAGGAGGAGAGCCATGAGTCAGTCAGTCGATCAGGAGGAGGTGGAGGAGGAGGAGAGGAGGAGGAGGAGGAGGAGGAGGGGGCAGGAGCAGGAGCAGGAAGCAGGAGCAGGAGCAGAAGGAGGAGGAGAGCAGGAGGAGGAGGAGGACGGAGGCCGCGTTCGACCGTTCGGGACGAACCCTTGGGAAGTTCTCGCCACAGGAACCAGGAGGACAATCCAAGGAAGACAATCCAAGGAGGGGAGGAGGAGGAGGAGAGGGGAGGAGGGAGGAGGAGGAGGGGAGGGGGAGGAGGAGGAGGGGAGGAGGAGGAGGGGGAGGAGGCGGAGTGCGGAGGAGGAGGAGGAGGTAGGAGGAGGAAGAAGAGGTGGAGGAGGAGGGGAGGAAGGGAGGAGGGGGAGGAGGAGGAGGAGGAGGAGGAGGAGGAGGAGGAGGAGGAGGCGGAGGAGGAGGAAACGGAGAGGCCGCGTTCGAACGACCTTGGGGCCCACGGAACCAGAAACAGGAGGAGGACAATCCAAGGAGCAGGAGGGAAGGAGGAGGAGGAGGAGAGGAGGAGGCAGGCGGAGAGGAGGAGGGGCGTTTGCACGGGGGGAGAAGAGGAGGAGGAGGAGGAGGAGGAGGAGGAGGAGGAGGCGGAGATGGAGAGCGCAGGAGCGAAGAGGGCGAGGCTGGACCCGCGGCAGGCCAGCGCGGCGCGCTTGCTGCTGGCGGGGATGGCGCCCGCGGGCTCCGTCGACGGCAGGCCCCCGGGGCGCCACGGCCGCCGCCGCCCGCGCGAGCGGAGCCGCTCCGTCGCGGACCCGGCGCTCGTGCAGATCGGAGGGGCAGGCACGGGCCCACTGCGCAGCAAACTGCTGCACTGCAGGAGAAGGCATCCACCAGGGGCCCAACCAGATCGCATCGGGTTGGCGATCGGGGGACCCCAGTGTGCCCGCACCAAAGGCCACTCCGGCGAAGGGTCACTCTCACGTACAGTCGAAGCACCTAGGGGCCCTCCTCCTCCCCTCCTCCTCCCACATCCTCCTCCTCCTCCTCCTCCTCCTCCTCCTCCTCCTACAGTTGGGCCCAACCACAAGGGACCTCCAACAAGAAACCCAGCCCTGAGACCCCAGGACGCTCCTTGATTTGTGGTGTGGGGGAGGCACGCTTTCCACAGCAAAACCATCGAAACCCAGGAGACCGAGGGCACCCTGGAGGCGAGCAGGGTGTATCTTGGCACGGGCCTCCACTGTAGGATGAGGGCGCCGGCCGCGGAGGGAGGGAAGAGGAGCACGGCGTGAGGCTTTCGGCTACCATCGGCCTCTGGGGGCCCTCGCCGGGCCCCAGGACTGCGAAGAATCAGGGGGACGTAAGACCTGGGTACAGGGGACTCGGAAATCCCCGACGAGGTCGTCAAAAAAATGACGAGGCCGAGCCTGCATTTTGACGAGGCCTCCCGCTGCAGACATCCCACGAAACTCCTCCTCGTCAAAATCCGAGGCGCGGTCGTCAAAAAACGATGGCGAACCCGAGTCCTGGCAAACCCGGGTCTTACGCTCCCCCGAAAGAACTGAGGCCTGCGAATTCTGGGACACCTGCAATCGCCACGAAACATATCGAAGCCCATAGCCAGAGGATTGCCCTCTGAATGAAAAGTCCATCCCAGGGAACGGGCCGAGGCCTCCAGGCGTCGGCGCCGTGAAAGACGAGGCCTCCAGGGGCGGACGCGGTGTACGCGTCGTTCATGTCTAGTCGTGCTCATTTCCAATTGTGCTCGTTTCTAAGTGTTCAGGATGAGGCCCAGGATAGAACAATTAGAAACGAAAGGATCTTCGCCCCCCCCCCCCCCCAAACAAAAAAAAATAACTTTCGAAGAATTGGAAAGGAACACTGGGTATACATGTCCACTGCGCCCTGGCCAGGCCCATCCTGAACCCAGGAGCTACGTGCACGCCCTCCTGGCCAAGCCAGGAGGGCCTGGCGCACACGCCGCTGCCGGGCTCGGGCTGGGCCTGGCCAGGGAGCAGCGGCTGCGTATAGATCTCGCCGCCCGAAGACATGGCGGGCCCCAGAACTTAAGCTGTCGCTCGGACGTCCATTTTTCTGCGTTTCCAGCGTTTTTTTTGCTCGATGGCCCAGGATGGTCCTCGATGGTTCTCGCCGAGAAAAAATGCACACGTCCGAGCGATGCCAAAAGAAGCCGAACTGGAGGAAAAACGCCCGCACTGAAGACATGGATCGTCGGAGCTCTGGGGCCCGGGCTGGACACCGCAGTCCCCCGGGGCAGCCCCCTATGCTTGCGCATGCCACGACAATGGACACCCTAACAGTCCTATCATTGAACTTAAAATGTGTCGGAAAATGTTCCCAACATGGTTTAAACATGTTTATACATGTTTGAAACATGTTTAACACATGTTTTAGACATCTGGAAGTTCTTTGGCAGCACGCTTCCTCTCCATTGATCGTCCTCCACAACCCTATGCGCGCTCGGGGGCTCTGCAGAAGCTCTCCGTGCGCACATGGGGCGTCTCTCGGGGGCCTCTTGGGGCATGTGCCTTTTAGGGTTTCTGGGCCTGTCGTACAGTCATCGCGCTATCACATGGACCGCTGGAGAAGGAGCGAAGGGGCGCGCCCGGTCACTGCCAGCCTCGGCCACGAATGGACTTCCCGACCTGGACCTGCGGAACGGCCCGAAAACCAGAGCCTTAGGTCGGGCCTGTCCCCCCACAGGGGGATTTTGGACAAAAAAATCAAAACAACAAAGAAAATGATGCCCAAAAACAATCAAAAAATCGTCCCGAGTAGCAACTCGCAAATGCCCTGGATCCGCCGCGGGGGATATACGCGAGATGCCATCGAGGCAAACAAATGTTTTTTTTCGGACGTTTGCGAGTAGGCACTTTGCGAGTAGTGGAACGCGCTCGGCGAATCGTAGACCACTCTAGAGCGCTGTCGGCGGCCATACCAGGCGTTGTGGGGGAGAGGGGGGGGTGCGGAGGGGGCATAAACGTAGCCCACCCGGACTGTGGTGCCGGACGCACTGCGGCAGTGCCGGGACGCACTGATGGGGGGGAGCGTTACGTCATGATGGGGGGGGGAGGGGGGAGGGGGCATAATGCGCGTTATGGCCCAGAGGGTAACCAGAACACCCTCGTGGCGCGAGGGGGGCCGCCGGGGGTACAGAAAAAAAAAAAAAAAAAAAAAAAATGGCCCCGACCCAGACTGAACGCGGAAACGTCGGGGCCGCCAGGGGCTGCCTCGGGAGCCCTGTGCGGGGGCCAGCCCGGGCTGCCTGCGGCCAGCGGAAGGCCCAACGGAGTGGCGCGAGGGGGGCTGCAGGGAAAGAGAGCAAGGGCCACGACCCAGACTGGACGCGGCAACGTCGGGATCGATCTGGGCTGCCCAGGGATCCCTATGCCGGGGCCAGCCTGGCTGCCTCCGACCGGCGGCGGGCCCGACGGGGTGTGGCGCGAGGGAGGCGGCCTTGTGGGGAACCCAGACCTCCGTCGACGCGGTTTCTTGATCGCGGGCGTTTTTTCTTCGTCCGCTGTCGGGCCCGGGGACCATCAGGAACAGATCTGGGGCGCAAAGGCATCCCTGGGGAAGGGGTCGGAACCTCTGGGGCCGCGCACTAAAGCGACCCGAGACGTACCCACAATCCCGTTTGCACGCGAGGCGATTTGTCACGTGAACGCTTCGTATAAAAGAACACATTGCGAGACATGCAACACTTGGAAGTGCGATACAATGTCGGACCACGCACGTCGCACGCCTGCGCAACATAGAAAGGGGGGAAGAAGCGGAGGAAGAGGAGGAGGAGGAGGAGGAGGAGGAGGAGCAGGAGGAGGAAAAGGAGAAGGAGGAGGGAGAGGAGGAGGAGGAGGAGGAGGAGGAGGAGGAGGAGTAGGAGGAAGGAGGAAGAGGAGGAGGTGGAGGAAGAGGACGAGAGGAGGAAGAGGAGGAAGAGGAGGAGGATGGAGAGAGGGGATGGGGGAAGGATGAGGAGGAGAGGAGGAGGAGGAGGGGGGGAAGGAGGAGGAGGAGGAGGAGGAGGGGGAGGGGGAGAGGGAGGGGGAGGAGGGGGAAGGGGAGGGGGAGGAGGAGCAGAGGAGGAAAAAGGGGGGAGGAGGGCAAGGAGGACTGCAAGGGGAGAGGGAGAAACATCGCTAAAGGAACAGCACCATGCGTTACATCTGCTCGGTTCGCCCGCGCTGCCGCTGCAGGCGACAAGTGCCTGAAGAGGGCGTGGGCGGGCCGCTGAAAGCAACGTCATGCGCTACGTGACGCTCCAGCGCCGTGCGCTCTGTGATGCAACAGCGCCGCGCGCTGACTGACGGATAGCGCCACAAGCCGTGCGGACGAGCACCCTTTCATATTCGACTGGCCGTCACAACTGAGCCACCCCGGGCACAGCGAGGTCTCGGCTGGATGTGCGTACGACTCGACCCCGCCGAACCTCCACGGAGACCACGAAAGTGGCGACGGTTGCGCAGTTCGCAGCATCTCGGGACTGCGAGTCTTCGGCTGGATGCGTGTACAACTCCACCCCGCTGAACTTCCCAGGAGCCCGCAAAAGTATCGACGGTTTCGCACTTCGCAGCCTCCCAACTCCGCTGGACATCCCAGAAAACCACGAAGGTAGCGACGGTTTTGCAGTTCGCAGTCACCCAGGGAGCAGCGAAGTCTCAAATGGATGCGCGTGGCCCCCGATTCCGCTGGACCTCCCAGGAGTCCACGAAAGTGGCGACGGCCACGCAGTTCGCAGCCACCCAGGGAACAGCGTGGTCTCAAAAGAATTCGCGTGGCCACCCACTCCGCTGGACCTCCCAGATCCCCACGAAAGCGGCGGCGGGTTTCGCAATTCGCAACCTCCCAGGGAGCAGCGAGGTCTCAAAAAGGGTGCGCGCGGCCC